TGGAGGCCAATAAATTGGCTGAACTTTTCAGCGCCACCTCCTTTTTCAAAGAGTCGGCGCCTATAGCCCTGGTCTCGCGTGTCGACGACCGGCAGTTTGGCCCCGTTTTTATGAACTTATTTGAGACACAGTTTACGCGAGTCATCCAAATGTGCAAATCGTTTGCCACATTCAACAGTATTAATGAATGTGACAAACTCACCCTGATCAAAGGGGGTGCGTTTAACGTGTTCACTATGCGTACAGTTCCCTATTATGACCGCACTAATCACGCCTGGACTATTACACTGGTAAAATTTGTTGAAACATTTATGTGCTAGCTACTGATTTTATATTAAGTACTAATTTTGACCGCAGAATAACGAGAGTACAGTTATGTTTGATTTGAAATTGTTTAAAAGATTTCCCACCAATGTGTTTGTGTGGCTTAAGAAATTTTTAAACCAAATTGACCAAGAATGGGAAACCGATATCATTGTTTTGGACCTGGTATGCAATCATTGTCTCATGTATAATACATAAAGTGTATATTTATTAAATGGTTACATAATTTTATTATAGCTAACAGCGATAGTACTGTTTAACCCGGATCGACCCAATCTTGAACATAAAAACTTTGTTAAGTAAGTTATAATAATTAAATTAATGATCAATTAATAAGAAACTATTTTAAGTATGGTAGTATTAATTAAATTGTTTACATTTCTATGTTCATAGGCTACAGCAGAATATATATATGTATTTACTTCAGCGCTATTTAGCCGTCAGATATCAATCGCAAACAGAATCCACTTTGAAATTCGTGAAACTTTTAAATTGTCTCAAAGTCTTGAATGTTTTAAGTGACAATTTAAGACTCAGTATGGAGTATAAGGACCCTGATCATGTGCCACCACTCATGAAGGATATCTTAGATATAAATGAGAAAAGGTCGGGCAATACATGTGATGGATGTGCCGGCGCTACGGTTACGTCCAATAATATCGTTGTTTTTTAAATCATTTGAATATCATTGCAATAATTCTGTATTTTAATAATAAACACTTTGTTAATAATAAACAAACAGTTAATCGTACCAGTTAATTTTTGATTTTAAATAAATCATTTATTTCTAATAATTGAATAAATATTTCAAACCCTAAATATTAGTGAAAAGTTTAAACACATATTAAAACACATGGCTTTTGCATAATCAGTAAATTAATTAAATATATTTTATAAATTAGTTTATGTTCAATTATAACCTAGTGATAAGATTCACAACTTATTATTGGTTTATTTTCTCAGCACTGATATCATAAATATCTCAACAATTGATTGACTCTATGTTAAAACGGACATTTATTTTGCAACGAATCTAATAAATAGAATATATTTTTAACTACTGTTAACTTAAATAAATTTTGTAAATATATTTGGAAGTAGTAAAATTAATTATTTATAATTTATTATCGAAATATTCAATTTATTTGTTCACAAAATGTCCGTTTTGTGCGTAAAAAATCATTTATTTGATTCAAGTAGTGATCGCATCTAAAACTTTAATAAAATTATTGTGTTTGAAGCAAAATTACTGTGTAGTTCAGAATGAATGAAAAATTTCTGTGTAAATGAATAGGTAAACGTTAATATTTTAAAACTAGAAAATATAATTAAATTGTTTCAAAAATCTGTACCGAAATAAGTGTGGATTTGTTGAGTGCAGCGAACCCTCCGATAGTGAACCCAAATGTACGCGTATTTCATTTTTGGGCAATCAAGCATATTTATAAAGTTGCTTAATGATTTTATTATTAATAATTTAAGTACCAACTTATATTATGATTGCATTTAAATAGATTTTTATTAACATATACTAATAAATACTTATATATTAAATATTTTATCATATTCTTTTTTATATTATTTACTTAGCAATATATTTAATGAAATCAACTTGTTCAATACCGGTACATTTAATATTCCGTGTGGAATAAAACTGCACTTATTGTATTATTAAACCAATTGCAAATATTGAATAAATAAATAAGCTTATTAAATATATAAAATAATAAAATAATTATATTTCATGTACTGTATTAAATGTTAAAACCTAAATACTAAATATTTTAGAAAAATAATGTTTATAAATTATATAAATTCAAAATACACTCTTTGTAAATACTTATTTATAATATTAATATCTATGGGGTCAGAAATTTTTAAAATGTTTATTAGCTTTTTATGTGTCTAATAGAAAACAAACTCAAAAAACATAAACATTTCATACATCAACCAATTATTTTATCATAAATATAATTGAAAACATTTATATATTATTATTATAATT